CTTGCGCAAGGCTTGGGAGGAAGAAACTGCTTTCCTGTCGCTCATCTGGTCTCCTGAATGAAAGCTCAGGTACAATAAAAGATCCAGAATCCAGAGAAGGCAAAGCTCACGTAGACAATTAAAAAATCAGAGTGCATACAAAGTTGGGATAGAACTTGGGAGGCTGAGATGGGAAGATTATGAGTTCAAAGCCAACCTGAGGAATACAGCAAGACCCCATCTCAAAACAAAGCAACTCCCCATAAACAAACAAAATCCTACCAACCAATTAATCAACAAAACAAAAACAAACAAATAAAATTCCACAATCACAAAGAAGGTCTGGAAAGATGGATCTTGAGGACCCAGCTTCACGTGCTCAGCTCCTGTGGCCGTATGTGCCCAGTGCTGGGAAGGTGGAGGTGGGAGGATCCTGGAGCTTGCTGACTAGCTAATTTAGCCATTCCCTGAGCACTGAGTTCAGACAAACTCTGTTAAGAATATGGGCTGCTCTTCTAGAGGATCTGGGTTCAGTTCCCAGCACCAACAGGGTGGCCTGCAATGGTCTGTAACTCCAGTTCCGGGGAATCCAATGCCCTCTTCTGGCCTCTGCAGGCACCAGGCGTGCAGCTGGTACATAGACATGCATGCATACCAAGAGAACAAACAAATAAACAAACCCAAAAACAAAAAATAAAAAAAAACCCCACTCATGCACATAAAATAAATAAATAAATAAAAATAAGAATAAATAAAACGGAAAAGTGATGAAAGATACCAGATGCCAACCTCTGGCTTCCATATGTACACACACACACACACACACACACACACACACACACACACACACATACACGGGATGGGGCACAGGTACATATAGGCACACATGCAGAAAATATATACACACAGAAAAAATAAAATATACAAAAAGTAGTTAAAGAGAACTGGAGAAATGGCTCAGTGGTTAAGAGCACTGGCTGCTCTTGCAAAGGACCTGATTTCAGTTCCCAGCAGCCACATGGCAGCTCACAGTGATCTGTGCCTCTAGTTCCAGGGAATCCTTTGCCCTCTTCTGGCCTCCACAGACACTGTATGCACTGTGGTACACATATGGAGATGCAGACAAACACTCATACACTGGCGCTGCAGGATAAATGAAACTAAACAATCTGCAGATGTGCTAAGAAGCAGGAAAATAGAAGCCATGATGAACAGAAACAGACCCGGGAATGGCACGGCCTTTAGGACTCACAGCCGAGCTGCTACAACTGCTGCTGCACTTTCCACGTGTCCAAGAAGAGAAAGAAGAAGCAGGAGCATTTTAGATAAAGACAGGGAAGAAGAAAACAGACCCTACAATCACGTCTAGAGGTGGAGGAACAAGCTAACCAACCATCCACCACATAAAAGACGAGGAGGGATGAATCATTAGCCATTACCAGGGAAAATGAGTGAACTCACAGAAGTGGGAATAGAAATTGTCAAAAATGAAATGGACAGGAGATAAAGAGGAGAAGACAACAAGCAAACAGCCCCAAACACAAAACCAAGACAACTTAATACACACCAGGGTAAGCCTGGTGGGGGGAAACATGGTGGGGGCAGCTGTTTGTTCACTGCTGGCCTTCGAGGTGTGTGTCTGAAGTGGTCATTTGCTAATTGCTGCTGTCACTTTATAACTTGGAATTTCTCCTACTCTGGCATGACTGGGCCGGTGACATCGTTGTATTGGTGACATTCACAGTGACGAAGCTGCTGGCACTGCTGAGTTAACTGGATCTGTACAGTGCAGAATACCATAACCCTTCCTTTCACATTTGTGAGCTTAATTACACTCATATACTAGGGGAGGAAACAGGCATACAAAACCATCCTCCCTCACAGAGGCAGCGTGGGGCCCGGTGTCTCGGGGAAGTCTGTTTAAATGAGCAGTTCTGTGAGCAGTCAAGGTCCAAAATGGGCCCAGAATTGTGGATAGGAACCTGGCTCTGATTCCATCCCACAGGTAACCTGCGTGTGAGTGATCAGTATCTTCCTCCTCTGGGCTCACGTTTCCATCTTAATACGTAAGATTGTTGGAATCAAGTGGTCTCCAGGAGCTCCTGCAGCTCCGACGTGAGGACCACTCACAGTGGGTCCCATCATTGTGCATTCCTTTCCCCAAAGGCTCACGTGTGCCAGATGTGTGAAACCCATCCTGGTGGTGTAGAGATCTAGGAACCAGCTCACCAACCAATGCCAGGGCTGCAGGGGACAAGTCTTCATGTTGGAAAAATGCAGTTTGGCAAGTGTCCACAGAACCTGTATTGCTAACATCAGGAGGCTGGGTGGTTATGGTGGGTTAAATGAGAATGTTCCCCTCATAAGTTGAGATGTTTGGATTCTTGGCTCAGGGTTGGTGGTGGTGTTTGGGTAGGTTTAAGAGGTGTGAGCTTGCTGGAGGAAGCATGTCACTGCGGGGTGGGCTTCTCTCTGTTTCCAGCTTGTGGTTTAAGATATGAGCCCTTCTTTTCCTGCCCCAGCTGCCAAGCTTCCCTGCCAGGGTGGACTCACCGACTCTAGAACTATAAGTCAAAATAAACTCCTTCTTCAATAAGTAGCCTTGGTCATGGTGTTATATCACAACAATAGAAAACCAATGAAGATAGCAATGTCTCTGTTGGGTGACTCTCAAGGGCACAGCCAGGTCAGGTGACAAGTAGGAGAAAGTTTTCCCCTCAGGAGATTTAAAGATGACCCTGACTGAACTTGGAGTATTTGAAGGGATGGTAATTAGGTTGCCAGGCCTCTCTTTTTGTCATTTAAACCATTGTGACTGAATATGCAGACTTCACTAAGAAGAAATAACCAATTGTATGACAAAGCCAGGAAGGAGTTGAGCTCAAATGTAGGCACCTCCTCGCAAATTTCCTCTTTTCTACCAGCGGGAACTCAACAGCTGTCATCTCTCTGTGAACTTGCGGCCTCTAACTCGCAGGTTCTCAGAGCAGCATTTACCCTCCAAACCCATTGTGTATTTTACACTAACGTGCTTCAGAGAGAAGTGTGGGTCTCACCACACATCGTGAATTCCAGAGGTCTCCAAAAGCTATTTTCCCATATAGTCAAAATTACATTGCAGCGTTTAATCATTACTAATAACCTCACAGTGTGTCTGCCGTCACTCCGCCTTCCAACGTCTACAAACGTCTCACCTCCAGGGTTCAGCCTGTGGCCATGCATAAACTGGAAATATAAATTTTTCTCCAGGTTGGAATTAACAGTCCCTATACAATTTCCAGACCACGCTTTCTGGATTCCTCTGGTTGCTTGCCCTGTGGTGTCTTTCAGCTTCTGCTGTGTCCCCTCTCTATTCTGTCTGTCAGTTCTTCCTCTCAGCCTGCTGATCTGGGCATTCTTCCTAGCCGCAGAAGTCTTCTTCAGAGAGAGTGGGAGAACTCTGTCACCCGCACCTTGGCTTCAACACCAGGCGCTCTTCTCCTCCCTTCTTCTAAAGAATCCCACAGTTTAACTTGGTTCCGTCTGACAAAAGGGTATCAAGTTCCCACTTGGGCCAGGCGTAAAAATAGGGAATAAGGTCTCAAAGTTGGATAAGACCCAAACCTTGAACTCAGCCGGTGGCTGCAGTCAGAGGCCCCCAGCACAGCACAGAAAGGTTTTTCTATGGGTTGTGGGGAGTACGGGGATGTAGAGTGTCAGTTTATGCTGTAGTCAGAGAGTTCCCAGGACACGTCCTCTGAGATGGTCTTAAAGAATGCATGGGCATTATGCCAGCCAAGGAGGGTGCGGTGCACATCGCAGCCAGGGAAAAGACCCAGGTAGGGCATCAGTGCGGGGCACAGCAGGATGGTCTCACCCAGGGCAAACAGGCCATCCTGGCTAGGGTACAAGTGTGGGAAAGTGTGAGTTATGATGGCCAGAGAAGTAAATGTGGCCCCAGGGGAGCAAAGTGTTCTACTAATGAACTGGGACTTCAGTTAGAGAGCAGTAGGGACTTACTGAGAGATGACAAGAAGGCCCTAGTCTACATGTTAAGGGTTCGTGTTGGTGTACTGGGCCCATTATTCCTAAGGGGCAGGACTAAGGAAGGGATAGAAAGACCATTGGTAGATGTCTGACACACACAGGTCACTAGACCAGTGTCCATTATTGCAGAGAGGGGGCAGAATGTGAGGAGGAGATGAGGGTGATTGGGATTATTATTATATTACATTATTTTGGCTTTTCAAGACAGGGTTTCTCTGTAGCTTTGGAGCCTGTCCTGGAACTAGCTCTTGTAGACCAGGCTGGCCTCGAACTCAGAGATCCACCTGCCTCTGCCTCCCGAGTGCTGGGATTAAAGGTGTGCGCCACCACAGCCCGGCTGGGATTATTCTTAGGCATAGTTTATTTGTGATGTTGGAAGAGCCTCCATTACAGCTTCCTCACCTTGGACTGAGTAGGTTTAAATAAGTGTGTTGAGCGGGAGCTGGGGTGCTCTAGTGTGTGCGCCTGTACTCCGGAGCACATATGGAAAGTACACCTGTTGCCAGCAGATAAAGATCAACTGTCATTCTGAGAATCAGGGTACCGCCTGCGTCACAGCTAGCAGAGTGGTCTGAGTCAGGAGATGAGGGAAGAGTGCGGAGTGTGACGGCCAGAAGCTGCTGAGAGGGGCTTTAAGATTACAGAGATTACATTCAGTGCTAAAGACCCAATAAGTCAGAGCCCAAAAGCAGCCCTGGAAATTGGAGAATAAGGAGGTTACGGGTGTCATTTGCTAATGCCATTTGTCTTAGAAAGACGAAGAAAAAGACTAATCCAGCCTGGAAGACTCTTCCAGGGAGAAGGAGAGGGCCAGAGAGACCGAAACAACGGAGAGAAAGATATCTCGAGTTAAAATCCTGGAGTTAAGCAGTTGGCACACCAAAGCTGTTGACTAAGTCATGTGCTCACCCTGGAAGCTGATCCCCTCATGTCATGGAGTCATGACAGTCATGACAGTCATGGAGGCTGTGCTAAACCTGTGTCCTTCCCTCCAGAAAATCCCACAGATCAGCTCTGAGCAGAGGGACCCTCCAGCCTTGAAGACCTAACTGTTCCTCAGCCTGTCACCTTCCCCAGTCTCTGAACACCAGTGTCCTGCTCCCCATCCGGTTCAGCCATTTGGAAGGCCTCTTCGTCTGTGCCGGCAAAAAACCATGATGCCCCCAATAAAAGATCCAGCTCACTATATTTTTATTGGCTAATTTTCTCTCTTATCCAGCTGAGAATCCAAGTCAGAAGAGACATTTTAGGGTTGGATATCATGGCTTCTCTTATTGTATCATTATTGTTTGACCTAGGGTCTCACTATATAATCTTAGACTCACCATCTTTCTACCTCATCCTCTTAAGTGCTAGGATTATAAGCACGGGCCACTACACTTAGAAGACCACACGTGGAGGTGCATTCCTTTAGTCCTAGCACTTGGGAGGCAGAGGCAGGTGGATCTCTGAGTTCGAGGCCAGACTTGTCTACAGAGGGAGTTCCAAGAGTCAGGGCTACGCAGAGAAACCCTGTCTCAAAACAAACAAACAAAAAAATGTAGTCCCCAGGATACATTTACAAAACAACTCCCACACCTAAGATTCGGAGAACACTGCACAAAAGGGGGTGTGGACCGTTTGTAAGATCAGGGAGGTTGCTGACATTGGATTTACTAGTAACGTCAGAAACTCTACCCATGTGACTACCTAAACAGTAACTGAACAAAGAGAGCAACAATGGACGGCATCAAGGTGGGTTGAGGAACGCCTGTGCCTACAAGGCCTTAACCCTACACAAAGAAGTATGGACAGCTAAGGAATGCTGAGAATGGGAGACGTAGTCCTCCCCAGGGAAGAGCACACCCATTGGTTATCCAGTACCAGATGGTCAGCCCTGCAAACACACAGACAAGTCATAGTATACAGATGCAGGTAACAGCAATTCATGAACAAGAGCTTGTAAATTTGAACACAAGCAAGGACACAAGCAAGGGAGGGTCTGGAGGAAAAAAAGGAAAGAGGGAAGTCATGTAATTATACTCTAAAGACAAAACAAAGAAAGCAAAGCCCCACCCACCTACATTGCCCACCCCGGATTCAGGCTAGGGTGGAGTCCCAATAGAGGGACATTTTCAAGTGAGACAGACATCTTTGGGCTGACTCCAGACCTTCACCCTTGGACAGGGCTCCCTGACGTACCCGCTCTCCTCCACTCCTCTGTTCCAAGCACCATTTTTTCTTAAATTTTATTTATATTTATGTGTCTATGTGTGTATGTGCGGGTGTCCAATGGATGCAAGAAGAGAGTGTTGGCTCCCCTGGAGCTGGAATTGCAGGGACTTGTGAGGCGCCTGATGGGGGGGGGCTGGGAATTAATCCAGGTCCTCTGGAAGAGTTAGAAGTAGTCTTGACCAGCTAGCGGCAGAGGCAGCACCTCAGATGCCTCAGACAACCGGGGCTGCAGAGAGCGAGCAGGTGAGATGCGGCAAGTCTTGACCCTGCTGCAAGCCACGTGAGAGCTCGCCTCACTTGAGGAAGCATGGTTAACAGCAGACATGGCCTTCAGGAGACCAACTCTCTGCCGAGGGGCTGAGGCCATAGACCAGGCACGGGGAAATGCAGAAACCACAAGAGACATTTCGTGTATAATACCTCAAATCACCTGTCACCTTCACAGTCCTGACTTCCTGTTTCCGAATGCCCTTGTGAGGTGGGCTGAGCGTGGGGGAATTCAGTAACAAGTCATGGACCCTAACAGGACTGGCTTGGCCAGGATGTGGCTGACCCAAGGATGCTGTGGCCTCTACTGCTGCCCGCCTATGCCCTCGCCTGCTCCCTTGTCTCCTAGAGATCATCCCTTGGAGTAATCGCAGCCACATGCCTACGTTACCTGTTTCGCTTTTTGAGACAGGGTTTTGTTATGTAGCCCAGGTTGGCTTTCAACTCAGTAGATAGGCAAGGCTACTGGTTCCTCCTGCCTCAGACTCCTGAATACTGGGAGTATGGATGTATACCACTATACCAGGCTTTTAAAATTGTAACTCAATTTAACAGATTCAGAGTCTCTTGTATCCAAGGCTGGCCTTGAGCTTGTTAGGTAGCTGAGGACGACCTTGACTGTCTGATCCTCCTTGGTCCTCCTCCTAAGAACTGGAAATACAAGCACAGGTCACCATTTTCACAATTTTTAACTTTGTCTCACAAAGTGGATGACTCCCTACATCCTTCCCAATTCATGGACACAGACACACACATACACAGACTGACCCATTAGCACACAGACATACTTGTGTATATAGGACACATGCATACACACACTGACACACGTTCACAGACACACTGATGCACGCACATGCGATGACACGCACAGGGCACAGGCACGGCGTGTGCAGACATTGACCACTTAGACACCACGATACACGCATTGACATGCATGTGAACATGCTCAGAGGTCATAGCCACAATGGTGGCTGTAGAAGTACCTCTAAGTACCTTTTTATTTTCTTGTCCTTGCTTGGAGTCTACAGTACTTGGAAAATGTCAGGCGTAGGAGGCCTTTCAGTTCTGGGTTAGGCTTAGACTCCCTGCACATATTTGGAGGATGTCCAGATCCTGTGAGTGTGCTCACGGAGGAGCAGATAACGGTGACCTTGCTGTCAGGGAGGATGGTCCACTGGGGCCAAGGAGCTATGCTGGCTGCTGAGGTCACTTCTCCTCCCTGCTGCACCTGGGCTGCCTCTGATGCCAGGACCCCATCCCAGCACCCTACTCTCAGCCTCCTGGGTCTATGTCCTGTGGTGGGAAGCAGGCTCAGCTCTCTAGGAGGAGGCTGGGATCTGAGTACTGGCCTTGCAGAGTCACGGTTAAGAAGAGTCAGACTCTCCCCAAGGGCCTGCTGGCTGCTGCTCAAACGCCCCCATATTGCCTTTCAGAAGACACAAAGCAGGTCTTTATAAAGTAGCAACTGGCTTCTCAGGGCCTCAGCTCCATAACGAGAGGTCCAAGCTGGTGCCTCTGACTGAAACATGCCTGCTGTGTTTGTGTGTGTGAACTAATGCACAAAGTCTGGAGTGTGTATGTATGTGTGGTGAGTGTTAGAATGTTAAGTGCCCCCCCCCCCATTCAGCCTACTCCTTTAGGGCAGGGACTTTTTTTTGAACCCAGGGCTTACATTTTCTTACTTAGGTTGGAAGCCTGTAAGTCTCCAGAGACCCTCCTGTCTCCACTCCCATCAGAAAAGGGGTTGCAGGCATTTGTATGGACACTTAGCTTGCTACATAGTTTCTGGGCAACCTAAACTCTGATTCTCAAGATTGTGGAGTAAGCACCCTTAACTGATGAGCCATTTCTCCAGCTCTCGCATATCATTGCAAGCTGGAACCCTCCATTTAGCAAATCCTTGTGGATAGCCAGGCTGGGAGCTGAGGTCACACGCGTGGCTGGTCACAGCAGTTGATGGTGTAGGGAAGGAGGCTGGTGGGAAGATAGCAGTGGGCCACAGGAAGGGTGCTGGGCTTGGGGAAGGGGCAAGTCTTACAGAGAAAGTTACTCTGATCCTTGAAGCACTTCCGACTGAGAGGGCAGGGTGGACAAAGGCTGGGTAGCGGTAGTACCCCTTGATCTGCAGCTAATTCCAACCTATCTGCAGGACTCTGGAAGGACTTAGCTTCCAAAGTGGACTGTTCTGTGATCATTCTGCAGAGGGGTTGCTGGTGGGGCGTGCTTCTCTTTTCTGGGACCTCTGAAAGAAAGAAAGGGGGTTGGAGTGTGTGTGTGTGTGTGTGTGTGTGTGTGTGTGTGTGTGTGTATGTGAAATGGGGGTCAGGTTATTAGGGGTAGAGGGAAGGGAACTGTTTGATTAATGGGTGTCCTGTGAACCTGCACATTTGCCCAAGGCTGCATTCCTGGGCTTTCAAACTCAGGGCAGTTTGATAAGCTGAGACCAAAGTCCCCTTTACTCCCAACAAGAAGAGCAAACAGGACAACTCGGCTAATCCCAGCCCTGGCCTCCACGGCCGTTTCTCGGCAACCAGTCTGCCAAGTGGCCTTTCACAGGCCAATCAATGAAGCACCCCCGGTCTTCTGGGAAGCTGTGGCCAGTTCGTAGTATAGTCTCTTGCCTGAAAGGAGGGGTCTGAGGAAGGAGGACAGAGCTTATGCACCCCTGAGCATTGCTCTGAAGGCCCTTCACTGTGAGGCATCTGTCTGTTGCGTAGCCAGCTGTTCTAGCTGGGACCCTTCTGTGGGACGCTCCTTCCACTTCTCTTCCAGCCGTTGTTCCACCCGAGCAGAAGTTTATCAACAGACCTCTCTCCATCTCCCTGGGGGGCTTCTCTGAATGTTCTTTCCAACCCATGACATTAGCATGATCTGATCCTCCGGCACCATGTGCATTGTGTGTGCACTGTAAGCAGTGAGACTCACGTGTTCCATCAAGGGAACTGCATCTTGGCTTCTCCTCACGCAGGTGCCGTGCCACACCTGCACGGGAAGGAAAGTCATCTGTGCATAACAGAGGGGAGTGTGGCTCACCCACGGCCTCACTAGGCCTGGGAGTGACACGGTGGAGACACTGTCACAAGGGTCCCAGGCTGCCACCCCATATCCCGGGTGAGGTTGCGTGTCAACCCTTTCTCCATTTTTCCTGATGTTAGTCCTATTGTTATCCAACAAATTTTCACTCTCTGGCCTCACTCAAGGCTTTCAGCAAAATGTCTTACCACCCTGCCTCCCCAGCTTGCCCCTATCCCCCAGACTGTTTTCTCCCCCTTTCCTCAAAAGTGTGTGAAGGGAAGAGGAATTCCTTTCCCGTTATCCTCAGGCCTCCAAAAGGACAGGCCGTGGCCGCAAAGTGTGAACAGAAAGGGCTTGCCAAGCGCACCCAAGTGGTTATTTTAATCATGTGGAACAGCCCTCTCTTCATGGAAAATTTTCTACTCCAACACCTGCAGCATTAAAGGCGTCCTGGTTCCTTCTCCCCTGGGCTACCGGGAGTCACTCTTTCACCAGGGCAGGCTGCCAGCTCAGGTAATTATTCTTGCCCTTCCTTGCCCTGGGCCTCCTTCCTTCCCAATCTACCCTGCCCTCCTGTGGGAGCAATACTACCTGACTTCTTGTTTCATGGTTTCTAGAAGCGACTAGCAGGCAACCATGCCGCCTACCTCCTCACCAAAGTCTTCTCTGGGCTTCCTGGCTTGCCCCTGCGC